TTCTTTCTCTCTCCAGGTTGGAAGAGGCTCTATCTGACTATATCTGGGCACAGAAACATATGCGAGAGAACGTAGTGATTGACTACAAACAGCTGGGACTGAGATTTAAACTGTACAGCTGGCAGGTCTGACATTCAGCCTCACCTACACACACCTCGACACAAGGACACACCGTCATCAAGGATTCGGCTCAGTGCACATTAAAACGGCATAAAAAGGAAATTCAGCCTCGTCCTGTCTCATCACCACCTTTGTGTAGTTCAAATATCAGCCACACACCTGTGAGCTGTCAAAGCCTCATTAATGGAAGAAGACACATGTGATGGTTTTGTTACTGGTTCCAAACAACACTGCAACTGTGTGTGCCACTGTGAGTTTTAAACATCTCATCATCAGATACAGTCAGCATAATGTAAACTACATAACAGCTGTGGTGGTCGTCCAGAGAATCGTCCACAAGAATCATACATGTCCAGTTTACCAGCTCAGCTGCTGCTCAGCAAACATCTAAAATCAAGCAGTTTCATTTCATTTTAAATGTCAAATCTATTCTGAAGAAACAACCTGTCATTCACCAGATATTGTTTGAATACACTAAAATGGGAAACTGTGATATGTTCCAAGGTGTTATACAACGCAGCAGCTGTGTATTGTCAGATGGGCCAGTGGGAGCAGGCCAGGGACGTCCTGCTGTCAGCCTCCCAGGAGAAAGGACCAGGACGAGGGGGGAGCATGGAGGCAGCTTTGGAGAGCATCAGGGTGAGTTCATTTGTTCTTAGTATTTGGAGCTGTTTTTAGGTTTAAGGTTAAAGACTACTTGGTACGATCCTGGTGTAGCTGAAAAAAAAATACCCTGTTGGAAAACTGAACATGTCACAAAGCCTCAGGTTTTATGGTTACCATGGTATTTATTATTATCCAATCAAATGGACCAGCAGTGAGAATGTTACATGACAAATGACTGCAGAAAGTGCCGATGGAGTCACCTGTTGCTTTAAGAGCACCTGAACAAAGGACCTTTACCACCGCAGGCTCTCTCTGTGCTCGTTTTAGGTCAACAAATGCTTTATAGATTTTCACAAAGTAAAAGAAAAAGTGGTTTAAATAAAACAAATATTTCACCAAACAAGACTTACAATGACGTCTAAAGCCTGGACTTAAAAAGTGAAATATAGGTGCTTAAGTACAAATGGTGATTTTATTATTCTGAGGTAATATTACAGTAAGACTCTGCTGTCGCTAAGTAAATCCCAAAAGTTGATTCTGTTCATCTGGACGTAGAGTTTTCAGAAACGTTTCATCATCATCAGCTGACCGCAGGTTTCCAACCTTATAAACGGGATATTTGCACAATGACTGACACCAGCACCACTGCATGAACACGGTGCTGGAGTCAGTTTATGATCATAAGACTCTTTACTGTAACTTTAAAAACAGAGTAAGCAGGCCCTGGATCCTCTCCTGGTACCTGAGGGCGTGGTGTTTCGTCCCAGGAAACAGGATGTGGAGCAGCTGCAGCAAAGAGACTTCTTGGGAAAAGCGACGGTACGTAGAGAGTGCTTGTGGTACACGTGTTTATCCATCCATTCGTTTTCTTCTGC